ACTGAAAAGACCTCTCTCCAATCATATTTCCTCATTTAACTGCCTGCAATGTCAATCCCTTGAGCAGTCTCCCAAATGGTAACTGGCATTCGGGTCTCACTTAGCCTTTAAAACACATTTTAAAGCATAACAAAATTGCAGGCTGTCTGCGTCTGCAGCGCAGAATAGATATGTGGACTGTATTTTGTGTAGACATGACTAACTTGTGATCAGCTCGCCTACCAGCTTACAATGCATCTGCAAGCAGCGTGGAAATAAACGTGGTTCCAGAGAGCTGGGAGGATGCCAAAGCAGCTACCTGGAGTTGTGCTGTTAAACTTGCTGGGTCCATCTGCATTAGATGGTAACTTTTTCTGACAACTGCTGCAAGTTCAGAGCAGGTATCCGTAGCTGTCTACGTGAAAGAAAGCACCTCAGTAAACAAAGCTCTGAACAGAATCGTCCTATCTTCTGTGTGTCCAGTCAAGTACATCGTTCTGTTGACACCTCCAGTATTTTCAGAACTCTGCAAATAGTAAACGGCAGATGAAATTTGAGGTTCATGATCGATTGATTTATGTGTAAATCAGTCACCCTCCAGGAGTGTTTGAATGTTAAGAACATACGTGCTTTTCTTTTAAAAATAATAGAATCGGAATGGATTCCTTTCCAGCAAAAATTTCCTGTCGGATTCCATTGCTTGAGCAACTGCAAATAGCCTTTTATTTATCTAAGGAAAAGGAGCAGCTCATAATATGTTTGTGTTTGGTGGTTCTTGCAGTGGAGAGGCTAATCTATCATTTCTTTGTTGTCTGAATGAGAAATAATAGTTGCTTAGGAGATTGTGTTTTTACAGAGATTACGGGTTAGATTATAGTTCACCATTAGTCACAAGCAGCTTTTCTTGGACATGAAACAATTATGGAGGAAGCAATATTTTATAATTCTCCAAACAAAGAACTTCAGAAGCACAGCTGTAGTACAGCTCTGCCATTGCAGAGTTTCAGAACAACAAGGAAGTGAAAATTCTGCTCCACCCTGGGGACCTTGGCATCGCGTTCCTCTGCTGCCTCCTCTGTCCCGGGAAAAAAAACAGGGTTGCCCTTAGGATAGGGTAAGTTTGAGTGATAAGGGACACATTTCTTGCTCGGCAGGAGGTTATTGCGTAAGAGGTCACTCTTGGCATAATGCATGTTGATTAATTTCCTAGGAAATGGAGCGCTTGGCTGCTGGGTCTTTCTGAATCTAGAACGCTCAGACATCGGTAAATGAAGGACCTGGCTTTTAGGCTCTTTTCAGTGTGTGTTCCCTAACCACTACTTCAAGCAAAACTGAAATAGAGCCATTTTTCATCCTCCAACAGGATGAATACCCATAACTGACTGATGAATCCTCAGAATGGTTATTCATTTTGCGTTAGCAATGAAATATCACATCATAACAATGATGAATCTTGGAATCCGGTTCTTCTCTCATTCCTTCCTACCCTGGTCCCATCAGGATTCTCATTACTGAATAACAGGGGCTCATGTTTGCTAATGCTTCTTTCCTGGAGGCATGAATCTTGCTTTTCTGGCTGTACTGGTGCATTCTCAGCAGGAGGAGGGAAGATTGGACCGCCTGTGCCTGCCCCGTGCTCCGGGGATTACAGTGCTCTCCAGGGTGCTCAAGCTGAGAAAAGCCCCGAGTCTGGATAGCTCACTCCATTTTCCACGGAAACCTCTAATTGTGAGGTGATGCAAGGTTATTCTGCAGGAGGTGGCCTCTCTTGCTGGCAGTCATTTATTGGATTTGAGTGGCTGTATCTGCAGACGCTTGCAGTGTGTGAGGGGCTGTTGCTTGCTTTATGAAGTCCAGATGGCTTTGGGCAGGAGACAAATGCCAAGGGACAGTCTGCCCAGGCCGCGGTCTATGGACGCCGATGCCTAACCGTTAAACTAGATGGGATTTTTATGGATTGCTCCTAAATTAGGTGCCTGTTTCTCTGCCTAGCGGGACACAAAGCCTGTGAACCTGAGCTTTGTTTTCTCTTTCTCTATTCCCTGTCTCACTAATGATGAGAGAGTTGCAAGTTAAAGAATGTAAGCTGTTTTTAGGGCTGCAACCTGAGGGGCAGATACTCCACGCATCGAGACTTGCATGGTCTTTTTTCAGGTACTTGAACGCAGACTTCTGCTGATGCGGAATGGTTGCATCTTCATCGTGTAAGTGGAGTAACAGAAAAGCTTTTTCTGAATTCGTCTCAGCAGCTTCCTTCCCCCTCTCTCTGTCCCTTCATAGCTATTCCTGGTGCACGCGATAGGGAAATACCTGTCCAGCTCTGGTCCAGCTCAGAATCTTCAGTAAGATCCGGGAAAAGATACAGGTGTTCAGAGGGGACTCATAAGAACCTGTAAAGGGTTGGGGAACAAACTTAATAATAAAACTCTAGGAATGTGATTCGTTTCTGAGCAAAAAAATTAGTAAGAGTGACTTGTGGAGTCTCGGTGGAGGTCTGGGGAGATTACAATTTGGAGCACAGTCGTTGTTTGCAAATAATTACCCAGAACGATGCCGGCAGCTTTGTGCTAGGAATAAGCTTCGCTTCAATCTTGTTATAATGGGTGTGTTGAAGTGCCCAAGTGCTTTTTTCCTACCTGACATTGACCTCAAAGTCATCTGAGGTGTTGATAGTTGGATAGACCTCTCCCTGCATTCGCAGTCGGTGCTTAAAGAGCTGAGCGAGTACTGGTGTCGGAAGCTACGCCCAGTCAATACTGCACGACACTTTCCAAATCTTCTAAGCTTTCAGATGTGTCCGTTGTCCTTCT